CAGGTNACCTGACCATCCAATCCTTCCAGCAGGTTCCAGCACATGCCAAGGTATACCAGCTACTTCCATGTCATAAAGGCTTAGTCATGTCTCTTGACCAAGCAATCAGCTGGTGCCCTGACATCCTCATCATTACCGCCATATGATTTAACCACCATCCACTGTTGTCACCTGTCATTATCATTATATTGTTGTACACCATATACTTTGCCATCCTCCATCATACTCTCCATCATCATACCTAGCATTTATTACTGTGGTCCTCACCATTACTGCCATATTGTTGTAGAACACTCAAACTCAGATAGCGCTGTTATCTCTTGGTGACCCTGCAGAGATATCAAGTTGCCCAACATATTCCAAACAAGGTGCTCCTGACTTCTGCAACAACTTGGGGAGTCTATCCAAACCAAAGAAGAACCAGAAGAACAATTACCAAGTGATTTGGTATTTTGAGTTACCATTAGTATGCTGTCAGAAACCCCATCCTTGCAAAACATGTCAGAATTACTTGATTCCAATATCATTGTACTGCCATCTCCCAGCCTTTAAGACCAAGAGCCTTCTGATCCTATCATGCTGCCATGAGTCAACCCAGAAGGAGATGTGGGTGGTGAAATGCCACTGAGGACATCACACAATACACTAAAACTAGAATTGAATGCCCCTACAGATCTACAGTGGTACTTTGATGATTTCAAACAGTGTGCAGAATCCAACAAACTACTGGCTGCCCAAAGTTCCAAATATGCTGCCCAGTATACTCCAGCTGCTACCAAAGTGGTTGGGAAGAAGTTACCATCATTCAAAGGAGGCAATTATGACACCTGGAAGACCGATGTATACAAGGTATATCCAGGTGCATCACAGGAAGACAAAACCTTTACCCACACTGACCTTGAGGAGTTAATGCGGAAATTGGCCATGGTACTGATGAATACTCAAGCCCAATTGGGAGAGTACATTCATGCATTTCATCATATCACCAGGTCATTTGGTGAAGGAGAACAGTTATCAGAAAGAGAGAAGAACTGTGCATTCATACAAGGATTCCATATCAAATTTGCGAGTCAAGTTCTCACCAAACTTGCCATTGAGTTCCCTAAGCATCACCCAGAAATTCCATACCTGATGTCTGACATACAAAATACCACATCTTGGCTGCTTCATGCTACCCTGGCTGATGCACCTGTCATATCCCTGTCAAATATTGGGACAAATACCACCTGTTCACTTGCAGGTACATCTTGAAATACCAGAACCTTGGGGCATTTCCCCTCAAAGCTGAACCAGTGTATTCTGCTACCACGGACACCTTAGTCAACAAGTTGGATATATTGTCAATGTACTCAGGACACTGGTACAACAAGGCAGTTCACAGTGCTCTTTGAATACTGGTAACAATTACAATACAAACACTGCATATGGTCAGAATACCGCAGGTAACACAAGTAATGCAAACTCCAGTACACCAGCCACCCAAACTTGTAATTGGTGCAGCCTCCCAGACCATTTCATCAATGAATGCCCTGACATGGAAATTGCTATCTGCAATGGGTTTGTTATAAGGAACCAAGACTGCAGAGTGGTCTTGCCGACAGGTCAATATGTACCCACTGCTATACAGGGCAAATTACTCTGTGACTGCATCTGAACATGGCATCAGCAGAATCCCAGAAATAAGACAGCTGAGATCAACTGACAGGGCCAAGGCATGGTGCCAGTTGGATTGTTTACTACAGCTGAACCACTCACACAAGCATTTGCTGTGGAAACCCCAAATTTGTTATTTGCGGGTACTGAGCCAAAGGATACTGCTGGTCTCCTATCACAAGAACAACTGGACCAAATCCACGCCCTGCAAGTCAAAATCAGTTGAATCAGGAACTGTTTCTAATGGCAAGGTCCCCTGGTAGAAAGTCAGGTTATGGCACCTCAGAAGCCCATTACAACAGATACCATTACACACCATGATATACCACCACATATGACACAGTCAGTAGATCCCATCACCATTAAAGAAGAGGCCATGAAGCATGAAGACCCCCCATCAGCCCAAGCCATTGTGGATTCCAAAAATGCCCAACAGACTCACCTACAAGCACCCATTGAACAAATGGCTCTCATTGATAGTGTACTCAAAAATGCACTTGATGTACCAATGACCTTGACATTCCAAGAATTGTTAGCAGTATCTCCAGATGTCAGAAAAATGGTCAATTATCAGACATTGGTTCACCAGACCCAATGTGGAGTACAACCAGTTTTTCTACAACAAGATACCAATGGTATTGACACAACAGCTGCAACAGATGGTACATGCTGCGAGGCAGTACAGGAAAAAGATGTCCCCACATGGGCTCATACACTGCACATTTCAGGCAATGATGCCCCAGCAGGCATGGCGGTTGGCAAAACTATTGTCCCCTTGTGTGCTATCAAATTATTGGTTGGTGACAATGACATGAAAATGCATGGGTGCCTTGACTCTGGTTCAGTATTGGTTGCCATGAACTACAATATGTGGAAAGATCTGAAAGTACCATATTATCCAGACTCAGTCATCAACATGGAAAGTGCAAATGATCGAGCAAGTAGCACATTAGGATGTGTTCATAACCTTTGTGTGACTATCGGACCTATATCTCTCTTCTTACAAGTCCATATTGTCTGCAAATCACCATTCAATTTGCTTCTTGGACAACCCTTCCTCACATTGCTCAAGTGCCAGTCTTTAGACCTATTGAATGGGGATCAACAACTAATGCTAACATGCCCCAATACCACAATAACAATCATTATTCCAACCCAGAACTGGGCCCCTTGACCTAAGGATTTGGATCCTCAGGAAGACACCCTGTCTCAATCAGATTTTTAGTAAACATTGATGAATTGAGAAAGGATCAATGAGACATGTTTCTAATCCACAATACTACATCTACCACCACAATACTGTCTATCACTACATTGCCCTGAGCTTCATTTCTTGCTGACTATTACAAATATGATGAAAAACAACATATCCTCACAGTGCATAAGTACAAGCCTGTCAAATGTTGTGTCCAACTGGTGGCTACCACACATCCTGAAAACCTCAAAATCCATCGACAGTTCCCTTCAGATCCCTTAGAACATCTACCAGTAGTGCTGTTATTTCCACCACCCTTTCAACCCAGCATCTGCCTAACACAGGAACATTTGGATGACATGAATCTCAATGCAACAAAGTTCCTTTGGCCAGCTGAAGTGGACCTAGTTAAATGGGTTTTATGCACTCACAAGATGGCTTTTTCATGGGATGAAGTCAAAATTGGCTGTTTCTGCAGTGACTATTTTGACCCAGTAGTTTTCCCTACTATCAAACATACCCCTTGGCAGCGCAAGAATATACTGCTTGCTCCTGTGCTGTTAGATCAAGCTATTCAAACAGTCTGCAAGAAGATACAGTCCAGTGCATATGAGCCTGCCCAGTCAGCATACTGCTCCAGCAGGTTTGTCATGGCCAAAAAGAACGGGACATTATGACCAATCATTGACTTACAACCCCTGAACAGTATTATGGTAAAAAGCTCTTTGGTACTGCCATTAACAGAGCATCTCATCAAATCCTACAGAGGTTGCAGTTGTTATTTGCTGTTAGACTTTTTCAGAGGCTTCAAACAACAGACTCTGGCACCAGAGTCTTGCAACCTTACCATGTTTCAATTCCCCCTTGGCCCTCTTTGATGCTGTGTTGCACCCATGGGCACACATAACATGCCTGGTATCATGCAAGATAATGTGATGCTTCTTCTTGAGCCTGAGATACTGCACATAATGACACCCTTTATTGATGACAGTGGTATCAAAGGCCCCACTGAACAACCCCACCTCTGGTAGGGTGTGTCAGGCCGATATTCCCACAAGTATTTTTGGGCCCTAGAGACCATTGCACAGCACTACAGACCCTCACTACACAGGACAATGCACCCCAGCGACAAGTCTCAACCCATTGGATATTTGGCATGACAACTGCAGGTTTCCTCCACAATGGGATCAACCCATCCGGATATTTGGCATGCCAATGCCTGCCTTAGAGAGGTATCTGGAGACCAGTTTAGTATAGAGTACAGTTTATCATAGCTAGTATAAGTAGTTTCCAGAAACTCCTGTATCTAGCTTATTCTGGCCCCTTTCTGTCAGTGTTATATGGATCCAATTATCCCCATACTGGATAGGCAGACTTGACTTGACTCAGTGTACTTGACTTGACTTATGGTGACTTGACTGGAATGGACACCAAGCTCTGATTTACTGACCAATTTCTGACAGCTCAGCTTCAGGCTGACTCCCGTGTTTTCTACCAACTTTCCCCATTCTTTTCCCTCTTCCCTTAGCGAGTTCTTGCACACCACCCATCAGACCAACTTATTTGGACCACTGATATTTTGGACACCTTTTGGGTTGGATCAGTGCCCTTCATGCCCACATATCACTACACTTTTGGTGGCCATTCCTGAATAATGATGCTGCTTGGTTCATCCGTATGTGCCATCAGTGTCAAGTGCAACAGACCACCTGTGTTATCATACCACCAGTTGTCCAGGAACCTGCTTGGCTCTTTAGCAAAGCATACTGTGACTCCATGCTCATGCCAGTATCTACTGCACCTGTTGCAGGATACTGTTATATTGCTCAGGCCAGGTGCTTGCTTACACATTACCCGGAATGAACCATGCTTTGAACAGAAACAGGGAAAAATCTGGCCGAATTTATCTTCAATAGCTTGATCTGCCAGTGGGGTATGCTCACCAAAATCATTATGGATAATGGTACTCTGTGGGTGAAAGCAATGGCAGAATTATCTTGAAGATACAATATCAAACACATTCACATATCTGGCTACAATTCCCATGCTAATGGCATTGTTGAACAAAGTCACTGCACTGTCAGAGAAAGCCTGGTCTGCCTTTCAGGCACTGAAGTAATAAAGTGGCCAATCCTTGCACCTGTGGTATTCTGGGCAGAGAGAATAACAATACATTCCATTGCCAGCTTAAGTCCTTATTATATGGCTCATGGGACACACCCATTGATGCCTCTCAACATTGCTGAATGTACCTTTTTGTCCCCACCAACTGAAACAACACTCTCCACTGCAGAACTTCTTGAACACCACACCTGCCAGCTTTTACAATGAGATAGACCTATCTACAGTATAGGTACCTGTGGATGATCCTAAGAGACCAAGTCTGAAGAGACAGTCCCAGGCAGAGTAGGCCTTATATTTATACCTCTGTGGTGGAACCTGCTAGAACATCTTGCTTACTCAGCCTAGTCAGGTGATCAGGTCATATGACCAAGGATGAGGTCATATGAGGTCATGCACAGCCATGCACAGCAGGTCACCTGACCATCCAATCCTTCCAGCAGGTTCCAGCACATGCCAAGGTATACCAGCTACTTCCATGT